AGGACCTAAAATGAATCGTAGTGAGACAGCGCTACATGAAGTGTATATCACCGTCAATCCCGCTTTTTTGTCGTTACGAACCTATATTGAACTGTAATAAGAGTTCATGGTAAGGCCTCAGTTTTGTTATCTGTTAATTTATTGTTACCTCCTACATACATCTAGATAGATTATGTCTGTGGTTACCTCTAACAGTAGGAAAACTAAAGCTTCTCTACGAATGTCTCTACGAATATAACAACAAATAATCTATTTTCGATTGGTATAATAACATTTGATATAATTTCTGAGGATATAATCACTCACTGTACATAATCAACAAAAGGTATAACAACAAAAGGCATAATTTCAATGTGTGTAATGAACCTTCAGTATAACAAACAAATGAACAAATGGTATAAGTACTACCAGTATAATGTATTAAATAATATAATACAAAATTTCATTTTACGAATAGTCGAAGCGCCCTACATTATGTTGATAAGATTATTTTTATTCCATTAAATATACAATCGCAAAATATAATTGTTTTTGTATAGCTTTAAGTGTTTTTGTGTTATAAAATATATTTATTAAAACGTTAAGCAGAATATTTAATTACATATACTAACCTAACCTAAACCCATAGGAGGAAGTCGAACCAACTAGGAAATGCAAACAAATTCGGTTCATTCACCTAAACACCACTGGAAATATATATTTCTTTAACGCATGCACATTCAACATTACACTCAGAAAATACTATATATATATATATCAGTGTTTATATACATAGGGCGCACTATAAGTTTCCGGAACTGGCCACTTACATAAACAATATTTAAAAAGTAATTACATTTGAAAATGGAATTCTTTGGCTGTAGAATACAGTTTGTTTCATCTGACTGTCACTTGTTTTTACATTGTGGCGTCATTTTAGAAATTGGTTGTCTACATCACCATGGATTTAACTTGTGAATATTAATATAATAATACTTTCATTCATTTCCAAAAATTAAGAACCAGTTACGCGATCAACGATTTTCATCACCTGAAGAGGCTGTTGACGATGACGATGAAGTTGTATGAAAAATATGTTTCAGAGATTGTCGCGGAGGAGTGGCATAATGTTTTCAAAATTGGTTAATTTGATGAAAAAGTGCATTAACGCTAACGGAGAATATTTTAAGAAACAATAAATTCATTCCTGACCATTTATAGTATTTTTTTCTTATTCATTCCGGAAAATTATAGTGCGCCCCGCGTAAAATGAACATTATGCCATCGGTATATTAGATTGAAAGTTGTTATATCAATCGTCTATTATACCCAGTGACCGTCGTCTATTATATCATGTGAGAATATGTCAAATGTCTGTATACCATAAATGAATTATATCTGTTGAGTGTTATATCGACTAAAAATATGTAATTTGTTGTTATATGTATATTACGAATCGCGCCCCATATTAAATGTATGGGAGCGTTTAATGTTACAATTTTAGATATTTGTAGTTTTATTTTTAAAAAGTTATTGATGTCGATTTATTAAAGCTTTTTAAAATCTTTTATATTTATGGAATAATCGCCTAGACACACTTAACGATTACATCCTGTATATGTAGAAAATAAACTTTTTTTTTCAAATGCGTTAGGACATCCTAGACAGCAACAACCCAGTTACCTCCGAGGCCCGAGGTAGAAACCACTATACGTTAAACAGATTACTTAGTTACAATAGTCTGGACAACGATCCGATGGTTTAGTTTCGATATCTAGTCGTTTTGCGATCAGGTCCTTATGTTGATCAGGTCATTTTGAAGATATAGCCATTGTGATACCGACCCGTTTCGAAGTACTAAGCTGATCCACTGCCTTACCGTCGTGATAATGCAAAATAATGTTTTTCATTTGTTCAGTTTTTCGATTCGCTACTGTAAGGGACAGGAGTCTTAGGTCCGTCACCCATTGGCGAGACAGCATGGCAAGGGATCTTTCGGCATTCCACATACAAACGCACAAAGCGGTGAAAATACAGATACTTATTACTGCGTTCAGATTTAGAAGGGCAAGGGTGCTCGTGAAAGTACAGGCACTGCACAGGCATGGGATTTGTCAACTTTAAGTCTCAGGGTGACGGGCGCAGTGGCAGAGCCCTTAAGATCTTTGCGATTTAAAGCTTTGAATGGTCCAACAAGTGCTATCAACTTGTTCATCCCGTTACTTGGAAACATGAAAGAAAAGAAATCTTTAGGCACGCCGAAGTACAGAAGGAAGACATGATTTTGAGTAACCTTCGGAAGCCCATCATTCGGAAGCATACCGAAGGCTGCCGAAGTATTCCGGAGGCTGCCAACTCGATATCCGGCAGCTTTGTTTTTGGTGCTACGACCATTATCATTTAAATTTCGGCTATAACGTCATAACATAAAGGTACTATTCGTTACGTAAAAATATACTATAAAATGTATATACATTTTAATTTTAATTTATTATAATTAGTCCCGCAGACTTGTCTTTATTATTATAATAAAGACTTTCTTTCTTCACCACAGTCAAGATAGACTGGAAGAGATCTCTGCTAAAAATAAGCTCGCCTTCGTATATATCCTTTGTAACATGTGTTTTCAATGTCTTTTCTTTGTGCAATAAATTTAAAAATAAAAATTCCCTTCTGTGCTATCCGGGCTTTGAGTTCGCGAAGTGTAAAATAACAACGGTGTAATGCTTATGTCATTGCAACTAAGAGCAATATCACATGGGTGCTGCCGGTACGTTGAGTCGTCGTTGTCGCAACGCTATGATTTCGACGCACTGAGTACCAAATAAGCAATGCGGTGTCATAATCACAACATATCCCCTACCTACTTATGCATCGCAGCACTACTCGCCGCTTCGTCTCCTAACCCCTTGTTCGATGCGTACGTGTCCCTTTGCCGCACGCCCGTTTCAACGCACCATATTCTGGCATGTAATATAACGCAGCGTCACCGGTGAGGCGTTGTGACGCAACGTGTGACACCGCTCTAAGTGTCGTATTCTAGAACTCTACTCAATGCTTAAGTCAGGACTTGAGTATGATTCAAAGCACTAGAAATCATACTCAAGTCCCTGCCATTAGGGTCGTATTTCCAGTGCTTGTGTTGCCAGTGCAATCCTGACTTGAGCATTGAATAGAGTTCTAGAATACGACTCTTATAGTCTCACAAAATCCGCAATATAACGTCGATTGTTTTCTGCGCATCGCCGCGCAGCGCATGGTTAGTGTGTCCAAACATAAAATGACCTAAATTACAATGTTTTGTCAATTACATAGTACTTGATCCATTATCATGCAAAGCAATTCACTAAGATTGTGTCCGTAAACAATACTACAGCATTTCAAGAGTTTGATGTCGACATACAGAACTGTGAACATACACAAATAACATTATTATGCACTTATTATACTGCCTGTATATCTGTTAGTCCCTATTCGTTATAATCATAGCGATATGGCCAATGAACACTACGTCGCGTCAACTTTACTTTTTGGTCATTTTCTGTTATTTTTATAAACAGCCATATTTATTTACTAATATTATGCTCCCCGAATTTCGTGAAAAGAATAAAGAAACAAAAATAAAATTCGAAAAAAAAATTCAAATTGTGTGAAAAAAATTTAAAAAAAATTAAAAACAAAATGAAAACAGAACATGTTCAAAAATTAAGCTATGTAATGCTAAGTGTTCATTTTAGGTATCGACGGATTTAGTATAATACCAGTTATAATATATGTATACCTCTGGATTTCCTGGAGGTTCCTGCATTTTCTAGGTAGACGGTTCGCTGACGCAGTATGATCCCATTAAATTTGGGATTTTCTTTAATTTTGTTTTTATATGCATTCTGCTGTTTAATTACACAGTGGACACTGCAGCATATGCTGAGATAAGTCCCGTGTTGACATGACGCTACAACACAGACTATACTATACCTCTACTTTGCCTTTATAAACTAATTTTAAGTGTAGTTCTATGTTTTATAATTATTTGTACGTAAACTGTTTTTAGTGCGGTTTTGTGTTGTTGTACTCATGCCAATAAAAACATGAAAGGGTTGTATGTAACCCTAACAAGCCGTGACCAGGTTCACGGCAGTAAAACAGAAAATTTCCAGTCCACAAATTCATTTAAAGTCGGTTAAAGAGAAGAAAAGGTAACAAAGAAGGCTGTAACAATAAAAGGTACATATAGAAAACAGGTAGATTATTACAAAACACTTCCTAACTTAATGATGATGAATACTAACATATTAAGTAGACACTTACCCCAAAAGAGCCAAGTTATACTGAATTACAGACACGTATTCATAGGTACATGATAAAGGCTGTAGTGGTTATAAACTTATACATTTTATACTTAGTAAAACAACTCCGTACACTGTCGCGATCGAGCAGGGAGTGACGGTGGAACGAAACAGAATCAGAATGCGAGGCAAAAGAGTTACGGAACAATTCAAAATTTAAACATAAATACGAGTGACCAGGAACCGGTGAAAAGCGATAAAAAGGTGGCACGACGATGTAAGGAGGTCACACCGTCACAAACATATCTATGTCTATAATAGTGTTTAGATCTGTTTTTGATATACCTAAGCTCGATATAAGTATAAAGACTACAGAAAATCATGGAAAAATGGAAACAAGTCCTCGATTAATGTGTTGTGTAAAATTTTGTGGTAGCTTAATGGTTTGACCAACCGTCTCTCAAGCAGAGTTCGTGGGTTCGAATCTCGGCTCCCACTACTGAGTTTTTCAGAATCTATGTGCCAAATTTAAATTGAAAATCATGAGCTTTTCAACGTTCACAAACCTCGGAAAACATGTGAAGTCCCCTCATTGAAACCATGACCAGTCCGCATTGACTTGAGAGGAGGCCCGTGCCAGTGCAACGTATAAATGGCACCTCTGCAGTATTTCCCTGGATGAACTTTAAAAAATACTACTTTATGAGATATACTTACAGTTCATCTTTTCGTCAGGTTTCGGCGTCTACAATGTGGTGCACATGCTGCTCAGCGGGGTGATCCTGATGGGTATGATCATGCAGAGCTTGGCTCTGGGCTACGTGCTGCCCGCCGCAAAGTGTGATCTGGGCATAACAACGCAACAACAGGGTTTACTTTCTGCAATACCTTTTTTAGGTAAGATTGTAATTAACAATGATGTCACAGAGTCGTCGGTCTGTTTGAAATATGCTTCACAACCATTGTGTTAATAACCACACCACCTTCATGGTCTTAATCTGGTTTCCATGCCTGAACCTTGAGCACCAGAGTAATGAAACTCTAGAGGCACAATCCAGAACACCGCGACCACAAAACCAGTTTAAAAAGTAATGTTTCTAAAATAGATTCCACTGACAATCGCCATCTAAAGGAATCACCACATTTACTCATACGGAATGGCCTTAAACCGATCAAAAAACCTTTGTAACCATGCAATAACATCAATTAAAAACGTTCTGTGTTTCGTATCCGTTCAAATGTCCCGATGCGAAATGCACTATTACGTCTTTTTTATTCTTATTACATCGGCATAAAGTTCTCTCGAAAAGTTTAAGGAGATTGGTATCATGATTGTGGCACACACATTCAAATATTATACATTTATTCAAATATTTTGTATGCCCGTACAAATATACATAATTTCATTAAGAAAGAAGATATCCATAATATTAACCTTAGAACTAAGTCCAAACTCATGGTGCCATGGTTTCGTTTAACTAAGGTAAACGATTCTTTTATAATAATAATATAATAATAATAATAACGCACACACTCAACATAGCCCCGCACTAGGGAAACCCTGTGTCGCGGGTGCCATGGACACACACATAGACAACCACAAATTACACCCAAACTCACGAGAGAAATAAATGTAGGCCATACAAATATTTCTCCCGGCCCGGGAATCGAACCCGGGGACCTCTGCGTGGCAGTCCGGTATGGCAACTGTTCGGCCACGGAGACAGTTTAAGTTTATGGGGAACTGTATACGTTTTTACAATAAGATTCCGGGTAATATACTAAGATTATCATTTCCTAAGTTTAAAACTTATATTAAAAGTTGTATTTTAATTGGAAAGTCATTCCATCAGTCATATTGCAGAAACGAAGAGTATGTGTTAGATAAAGAAGCAAGGAAAGACAACATGAGTCTAGATTCCACACAATTATGATTCAAAGTGTATTCCATAGCATTCCAGTTTATTTGAAAAGCGCAATCCCTAGAATTTCTTGCTCGTTCTTCTCAAGGAGGTCAGCGTAGTGAACGAGCAGTAGCTTAAACAATGACATTTTCAAGAGTAAAAATTTTACTGTAATTATTTTATTATGGAATAAATGATTATTTGACTTTGACAAAGATTTTTCTGACCGACTTAATGCGATTTCGTGTCGATAAGTGTGGTGATTCCCTAATACTAGTTGCTGTTATTTAACCCTCGGCGCAAAAAGAGGGGAGATATGAGTTGATGATGATATGAGTCTGAGAGTGTCTGTCAGAGGCCTCCAAACGGATGGACGGATCTCAAAGCACGCACGGCATCCAAGCACCTTTCTCTATCGCACAGTCGACAAATGGAACTCCCTTCCAGCGCACGTATTCCCTCCTTCTTATTATATGGGGTCATTCAAACGAGACGTGAAGATGTATCTTGTAGGCATGCAGGGTGGAGGTGGCTAGGGCAGTGATTGTGTGAACACTGAACAAGATATCTTCACGTTTGTATTCGAATTTCCATTTAACATCAGGTGGAGTGGAGTCATCTGCCTGCCATGTACAAAAAAAAAGCAGCTCTCTTTCTTTGTAGGCTAACTCAATCGAGATGGTTAACGTTATGTTTGGTGACCAATTTGTTCAGCTGTTTATAGATCACGAATTCTTTTTCAAAGTTTTTGAAACTTACTACGTACCACACATACTGGCCTGGGTAGTATAGGATCATTTACTTCCTATTATCAATGTCACAATATTTCAATTCAAAATACAATGTCAGGGCATAATATGATCGCCACTAACGCAAACAATAATAATATACTGCCTGTCGAAATACACGGAAGTCAAGTAAAACAAAATTACAATTGTTTGTATGAGCAAGAAACGCTGGGTTACTCTATGTAAAGTTAAGTCAGTTAGTTGGTTTCTAAATTTGTCTAGGGATCTTATGATACCTAGTGACAGGACGAACAAGTCGTGCGCCTGGTGATAAGCGACACGCCTATCTATAATAGTTGCAGTGTCACTCACCCTGAGACATAAGTTGACAAGTCTCACGTGCCTGTAATTTTACCAGCACCCTTACCCATCAAAACCAGAATGCAGTAATGCTCACATTTTTTCAGTGGCTTTATTTCCCTTAACGGACTCTTTCACAAGGAGCTCTATTGCTACTTGCTATGAATATTTAAATTACTTCCACTTGGCCGATTGGCTTGAAATTTTGATTACTATGGAAAGCATTACAATCATATGATAATCTTGATCTAACGCTGCAAGAAGAACAGACTGCAGACCACCCAACTCGTCAACTATTTACAGAACATAGTATTTGGGTTCATTAAATTGTGTCGTTATAGACTTTTTATCATACACTGGTTTAGTATCGGGAGTTTTTGGCAGTAGGTACTTCCCTGGACAAACTCGACACCTCTTAAGAACATTACACCAACTAAATATTTGGACCTGTTCTGTTTTTATTTTTATTTTTTTTTTTCGAATTTTGTTTTTGTTTCTTTATCGGGAAACATAATATTGGTAAATAAATATGGCTGTTTACGAAAAAATATCAGAAAATGACCAAAAAATAAAGTTAATTGAAGGTATCTAACTGTTTTACAATGAGCTCTACTGCTACTAACTACCATGTACCGTACAAGTCAAATATCATAAAATACACAAAATTTTAGTGTGTGCTCGTAGAGATAAAAACGTTTAACATATATTAACTCTTAATAGACTACGGTTAGATTAGAGATGAAACTAAAATTAGACGGCAAACGTTGACTGCTTTATAAACATTGATTAAATACTAACTTGAATTTAATGGTTTTAATAATTTAACGTAATGATACAAGAATTAACAAACGAAACACATGTCCACAACAGTAGAGTAGACTTCTGAACGAGTTCGTCCTGGGAAATACTGCCGTCTTACTTCTGCCACCAAATGTCCTGGTAAAATTACAAGCATACGGGACTTATTAAGCTGCGTTTCTGCGTGAAGGGCGCAGGTGCAATGCCTCTCAGACCTTTGCGCTTTAAAGCTCTGAGTGGCACTGCAACTGTATAGGACAGGCGTGTAGCTTACCAACAGGCGCAGGATTCGTTCCAAACCATACCAAATGATAACTATTTAATTAAGCAAACAATCGGATAAAGGAATAAAATATAATATGTATATATACACTCCCGGACCACCACCTCGCATTTTCAGTATTAAAAGCCAATGTTCAATTGATCAAAAACTACCCTACGCAATTTTGAAAGTACTATATTAAAAGCCGTATCCATAAGTCCTTGTTGGAAATTTGGATTTGCAAAACCGGCGGAAACCCCGATGATAACTATTTTTATTTTCTAGCACTGTATGACAAAAATGCGAGGTGACTCGATTTATGTGTCTGGGGGTATATATTTTGGTTAAGCGATTAAGACATGCCATAACACGTTATTATATATTTTGCCCAACTCTTTGATTATCATGATGATTGTGATATTTTTGTGGTGATATTTTTTATGCTTAAATGGGGAGTTATAAAATTACACATATACTTAATTATTTTTGTGAATTTTATGTGTGTGTGTGTGTGTGTGTGTGTATATATTATACCAAGAAGGGTACGAATTTAAATATGAAAAGTGTTACAAACAACGAGACGTTTTGTACCCGACTAAAACTCCTTTTATTGGATAATGAATTCTATATTGTCGATGAGTTTCTATTAGGGTTTCTGCACGAGATTTCTCGACTCTGAAATCTGGCCAACTTCGAGACGAGAAGAATATCCTCGAGAACTGGAGAAATCGGGAAATCAAGTTACGTTTTTAAATTACTGAAAAATTGACTTATAAATCTTTGCAGACAATGGAAAAAGCATTTCGAATATTTTACGAACAACAAAGATTCTTTAAACGCGCAATGCCTTATATGTCCTAAACCAATAAAAGGCTCGAGCACAAGTGGTTTTGTTAGACATCTGTTACATATTTCTTTGAATGCATCGGAAGATACAGAGGCATCAATTTCTTGTGTTATTAAGGTCTTTTTGTTGACTCGTTTTGTAATTTTTTCAGAAGACACGTCATTATTTGTAGTATTGATTTGTTTGTAATGTGATTAGTTTTATTTTGTTTAGTTGATTGTAACTATATGTGACTATATGTCAATTATTTATAAATGTTCTCAAGAATTATGTGGTTAGGTCTGATTGATTTACTAATAATATATAAATTTGAAGATAACGATCTTTTCAGTGATCGACAGTATGGTTTTCGCCGTGGTCGATATACTGGGGATCTTGTTGCGTATGCCACACATTTATGGGGCGAGGCTGTCGAGAATTCCATTCTGATGCGTACAGCAAAAGGAATGCTTTACCGGCGGCATCTGTATTTCCCGAAAAGTAAAATTTGGGGCTATTCAAGGCTAGAGTGAATAGGCATTTTTTTGGCAAACGCGTCCCATCGTCGGTCACATCGTCGCTTAACATCAGATGGGATTGTGGCCAAGCGTGTGTCTATTATATATTTAAAAAAAAACGTAAATAAAACATGTTGATTTTATTATAAATTGTGTTTGTTTATATTTGTATTTATAGTTGAATTTTTTTTTTTATATTTTTTTTTTATTTTGTTTTAAAAAAATTCTTGAACGACCGAGAAACTCATTCCCGAAGAAGAATTCCCGAAGTTCAAGAAAAAAATGTGTCGAGAAATTAGAAACCCTACTTTCTATTGAAACAATTGTAATTTTGTTTTACTTGACTTCGTTATATTTCCGACAGGCAGTAGTACTACATACTACTTTGTTTTATGTTCATTATTATTGTCTGCGTTAGTGCCGATCATTGATAATAGGAAATAAATGATTCTATTCTATTTATTCTAATATTACCCAGGCCAGTATATGTGGTACCGATCCTGCTATATAATTTCCTTAAAATCCATTACGAAGTTTAAATTTATAGTGAAACAAAATCTTTATTCTAAAGGTTTTTATACAGCTTCTGCGTACTTAGATGACAAAAATCCGTGATAGTGACCCGTTTAGCTCTTGCAGGCATTCTCGATCTAAGTAAGATGTTTGAAACAAGTATTTTATTTTATTTATTTGCATTTCACATGTAGTCTTAAGTGTTATAGTACACAAACTTAGAACTATGGTAGGAACTACATGAGAGACCCTGTGAGAGCGTAGCAAAATACACTTATGACATAATACATATTTTAACCATGGTAATGTAAATTAGAGTTTTATCGTATAACATTCATAAAACTTCCCCCTATACAATTGTTAACTTTATTTAAGTCTTTTAATATTCATAATTTTAGACTAATGACAGTTTTATCGAACAGTGTTGTCGTCAATGAATTCAGATAATAAAATATGAAAGCTAATGTCAACTTCTTATCTTAATCTTATATGTATCTATCTATTTATCCAAATTCAATTTATTTATTTGCATTTTAAACTCTAAATTGTAAATTAGTGCATAGGAACATACTAACGCGTACATTATATAGGTACCCTTCAAAGATTGTGATGACATTTAAAAATATTTGAAGATTTAGGTACGTTATTTATTTATATAATTGAAGAATTCGGCAATACTGTAATAACATTTTGCATTTCAAATGATTTACAAATTTAGTGTAATTTGGTATAACTTTAAGATGATTAGGTGTTTCGTTATATATTTTGCTAACCATAGAATGTGGAGCAGATGTGCATATCTTTAGTTTAGAGAAAGGTAGTTTAATTTTATTTTGGCTTCTATTATTTCGTTTTACTCTTTTTATCGGGGAATACAAATGTGAGTGCTTTCTAACAAACATACACGATTCCAATATATATATATATTGAGGTCACAGCAAGAATGCCATTCTCTATGAATACAGGCTTTCATGAGTCTGTTTGCTGAAGGTTAAATAGAATGCGTATGCACCTTTTTTGTAGTACAAAGATTTTGTCGACTTCGGTACTAATTCCCCACAATATGATGCCATAGCTCAATCTAGCATGTAACTTAATGCATTTAAATGTATACTAACAAAGAGCAACCCCTAGTTTGTTCGTCTCAGGGGTATCTAGCTTACGAATTAGCAGTAGAGTTTAATCAATATGACGATTTCAAGTGTAATTTTGACATAGTACGATAATTCAGAATGGTATCTGTCCGTTCCAGCAATCATCTTGATGTCGTACTTCTGGGGATACCTGGGTGACACGCGCGGCAGGAAGCCAGTAATGTTGTGCGCGATGCTCGCCTCTGCGCTCTTCTCAATCCTCGCCAGCTTCTCCCCTGACACTCCGTCTTTTGCTGTGTTATTCTTTTTGTCAGCTATTTTGTAAGTATTACTAGGCTTACATTACTTGTATTATATGATAAGCATGAAATACAACAAACACATACACATAAAAATGAATAAAAGTACATAATAAATTGTATTAAGTTACTTGAAATACTTGTGAGAAATTTGTAATACTTCTCGAACTTTCACTTTGCTTTACTGTGATCACCCAACTCTGTTGTTCTCCAGCACAATCGAGAAGATTGCACAAAAATTATTTTTCTTCCTAGTGGTGCCATCTATCGGAACACGCTTAAAACTAACAAGTGACGTTCACATAAGTCTTTAACAATAGAAATTAGCTGCAATCAAAATAAGTAATTGTAATATCATAAATAATAACATTATTTAAGCTTATATCATTACAACAAAACAAAATTGTTCTGTACATAAAAATATAAAAACTAGCATTATGGCGCCATCTAGCGGACCCGCATGAAACGAAAAGCTAATTTCTCGCTTAATCAGAAATTAGCAGCTGGTAAATTATAATCTGTAATATAAATAGTAATTATAATCTAACTCAACTATTACACTTGCTCAGTAATATTTTATAGAAGCTAGCAACGAAGAATTACAACAGTTAAAGTAGGTAATCTTCTAATTGTCTAGAACATAAAAGTGTCCTTGACAACATTTGCCACAAAGTCTTATTCTAAAAATATTGCTTGTGCAATTAAGAGTTATTTTATTCAGTACAAAAATGGGCGTGACATATGTATGAGTGACTAATTTTTTCTCTCGAATTGAGCTTGCCCAGAAGATGCCTATTCAATCACACCTTTTGCGGTTCCACCAGAGATGTGCGAGGTATTTTAGGTAGACGTTGCAAAGATGTGTAGCGGGAAGTTGTGCAACAGTGTGTAGTTGAGCTGTGGAAGAATGAGTAGTGTGGACTCTTTGCAGCTGTGTGCGAGTGGGGGTGCAGTGTGGTGGGATGAGCGAAGACGACGACTCGCATCCCTCGCACACATCTCTCGCTTTTTTGTACGTACAATCTGGGGGGGGGGGGGGGGGGGG